GCTGTTGAGGCGCTGCTGTCTTCTTTAGCAGCAGATTTCGTGCTGCAGCTGCGCCCCACAGGGATGAACAGAGGGGTTGTGCTGCTGGGCGCAGACGGCCTGGACGCGGTGTTTGACGCTGCTGCAGCAGCGCAGCAGCAGCAGCAGCAGCAGCAGCAGCTGCAGCAGCAGCAGCCGGCGGCTCTCGAGACCCAAACGCTACTGCGGCTGCAGCACGAAGAACAACAGAGGCAGCAGCAGTTGCTCATGCAGCAGTATGCGCTCAGCAGCGCCCAGAGGCAGCAGGACATGCAGCAGCAGCAGCAGCAGCAGCTTGGGGCAGACACGCAGGCGCAGCAAGGCGCAGTAGCAGGCGGCCTCCTTGCGAATCCTGCTGCAGCAACAGCAGCAGCAGCAGCCTTTCAGCCAGCCGCTGCCCCGACCATCGATGCAGCCACTGCTGCAGAGCAACAGTTGTTGCTGCAGCAGCAGCTGCTGCTGCAGCAGCATCAACAGGCTAGCTCGTTTCCCCCAACTGCCGGCGGTTCCCAGCAGCAGCTGGCAGAGCCCCTGCAGCAGCTGCAGCAGCAGCTGACAGAGCCGCTGCAGCAGCAGCAGCAGCAGCAGCAAGGACCGGCAATGCAGCAGCTTAGGCCCTCTCAGACAGGGCCTGATACTGTACGCAGCGGCGCAGGGCTAGGCAGTTTGCCGCCAGCAGCAGCAGGGGCTCAGCAGCAGCAGCTGCAGCAGCAGCTGCAGCAGCAGCTGCAGCAGCAGCTGCAGCAGCAGCAGCTGCAGCAGCAGCAGCTGCACCAGCAGCAGCTGCAGCAGTGGTCCTCTCGAAACGCTTCTGCTGTCCCGAGAGACACTGAAGCTGAGGCGCTGGGCGACGGTCTGCTGCCAACTGCTGCAGCAAACCAGCCAAGAGCTGCAGCAGCAGCAATGCGCAGCACAGCAGAGACTGAGGCAGAGGACGCAGAGGACGAAGAGCCAGCAGCAGCACATGCTGCAGCAGCTGCAGCAGCTACAGCAGCTGCAGCAGCTGCAGCAGCTGAAAGGCGTCGCCAGCCACCTGCTGCTCCTGCTGCTGCTGCACTGACCACTAGAAGCAGCCGAGAGCCAGCAGCAAATGAGAACTCCTGGCAAAGGAGGGCCCCAGAAGCAGCAGGCAGCAGAATGGCAGCAGCAGAAGGGCCTTTGCTTCCAGAGTCTGAGGACCAAGATGAGGCTTCAGTGGCTCTACAGCGCCGCAGTCGAACACGGCAGCAGCAGCAGCAGCAGCAGCTGCAGCTGCAGCAGCAGCAGCAGCTGCAGCAGCGGCAGTCCAGCAATCGGCAGCAGCAGCGGAGGGTAGCTGCCAGCACCCAAAATGGCCGCGCCTCCGCCAGCAGCAGCAGCAGCGAAAGTGCTGCGCAGCTCTCTCGTCGCGAGCGTCTGCAGCAGCAGCAGCAAACCAGGCAAGCAACGGCGCAGAGTGGGCGCCGGCAGGACCTGCAGCAGCAGCAGCAGCAGCAGCTGTTGCAGCAGCAGCAGCAGCAGCGGCAACAGCAGCTGTTGCAGCAGCAGCAGCAGCGGCAGCAGCAGCTGTTGCAGCAACAGCAGCAGCAACAGATGTTGCAGCTGCAGCAACAGCGGCAGCAGCAGCAGCAGCAGTGGCAGCAGCAGCGGCAGGAGCGTGCGCACCAGCGGACTGCTCTGGCTGCTCCTGGAGCAGCGCCAGCAGCTTCCCCAGCAGCAGCAGCAGCAGCACGAGCAGCAGCAGCAACACCAGCAGCACCTGCAACAATAACAATAAGCGCAACAGGGGCAATTCACCACCCGGCTATGCAGCAGCAGCATCCCTACGGCAGCAGCCTAGCTGTGTCGCCGCAGCAGCAGGCGCTGCTGCTGCTGCAGCCCCACCCTCACCTGCAGCAGCAGCAGCAGCAGCACTACGTCATCACTGCAGCGCCGCAAATGTATGCCCTGCAGGCCAGCAGCCCCCCTGTTATTTGGCAGCAGCGAAGGGCCCAGACGCAGCCAGCTGCTGCTGCTGCTGCTGCTGCTGCACCCCCTGGAGGCCCCCCTGGCTTCGTTTCGGAGGAGGGGAGGGCCCCTGAAGCTGCTGCTGCTGAGCCCGACTCTGCTGCTGCTGCTGCAGCCGATTCTGCTGCTCCTGCTGCAGTTGCTGCTGCTGCCCGGCGCCGCCTCGCAGAGCGAGAAAGCGAAAGCGCAGCAGCAGACTCACCAATCGTGCTGCTGGTGAGAGTGAAAGCAGCAGCAAACCAAGTAAGCAGCAGCAGCAGACAGAGAAGCAGCAGCTGAGCAGCAAATAGTTCTGCAGGCAGCCAAAAGGGCCCCCACAGACAAATAGAAATTGGGCGCCCTTCAAAATGCCCTCAAGGGGCCCCCGAGAGGGGCTGCAGCAGCAGCTGCAGCAGCGGCAGCAGTTGCTGCTACTGCTGCTGCTGCTGCTGCTGCGCCCGCGCGCAGCTGCGCGTTTTCTGGGCTGCTGCAGCACGAGTTGCTGCTGCCTGCATGCGATGGGGGCCCCAGGGGCCCCTCTTTCTGTGGGGCCCCACAGAAAGAAGCAGGGGGGAAAGGGGACACGAAAGGCTTCTGAATCTTGACTGCTGCTGCTGCTGCTGCTGCTGTGCTGCGTTGTGCTGTGCTGTGCTGTGCTGTGCTGCGCACGCTGCTGCTGCTGCTGCTGCTGCTGCTGCTGCGCGTGCCGCTTCAGCTGCTGCTGCAGGACCCGCAGCAGCAGCAGTTCTTCCGGACAGGACTCTTGACGGTGCTGCAGCAGCAAGCAGCATGGAGGGCCCCCTTTGACTCTGTGGCAGTGGAGCTGCTGCAGCTCAGCTCAGCAAAAGGCAAATTGAATTTAATTCTTGCTGCTGCAGCAGACAACAGCAGCAGCGCAGCAGCGCACAGGGTCACCTGCGCCCTTGCCGAGGCCCTTTCTGCTCCTCCAGTCCACGCAATGTTTAGTGAGCTCAAGCTGCTGCTGCTGCTGCTGCTGCTGCCGCTGCTGCTGGTGTTGTGGCTGGCTCTGTCGCAGCTGCAGCAGCAGGGCAGTTGTTCGCTGCTGCGGTGGCGATGCTGCTTGGCACGGCGCTGCTGCAGCTCTTGGTGCTGCTGCTGCTAATGAATGCTTCTTGCGGCGTCGCCGCAACTTAGCTGCTGCTGCTGCCGCTGCTGCTGCTGCTATAACCGTGCGCACCGCTGCTGCTGCTGCTGCTGCTGCAGAGGCGTGGGGTGCCAGTGGCCCCGTGGAAATCTACGGGGCCCCCGAGATCGGCAGCTGCTTGTGGGCCCCCAAGAGGGGCCCCCTGGAGTGGCTGCAGCTGGAAGTGACTCCGCAGCTAAGTTCTTTAGAAGAAGAGTTTGCTGCTGCAGCACAAGACGTTTACCTGCGCATGCATCTCGACGGGCTGCAGCTGCAGCAGTGGGGCCAGACCCTGCGGGCCCTGATGCGCTGGCTCGAGCAGCAGCAGCAGCAGCAGCAGCAGCAGCAGCAGCAGCACCAGCGGCAGCAGCAGCAGGAGCTGCAGGACGTGCTCGCAGAGCTGCTGTCGCTCTTCGGGGCAGCTGAGGCCCGCAAGCTGCTGGAGGAGGTCTCGAAGGCGGGGGCCCCCGTGGCCCGTCCGTCCGTGCTGCTGCTGCTGCTGCTGCAGCTGCAGCAGATGATGCAGCAGCAGGACCCCGCCCCAGGGGCCCCCACCTACAAAATGGCTGCAGCAGCAGCTGCTCACCTCTCCCCGCTGCTGCTGCGCGCCACTCAACGCAGCCTCCAAAAGGCCCTTCCCCAGGCGGTCAGTTCTTACTTCACTCAGGGGCCCCCAGGGGCCCCCCAGGGGCCCCTCAGGGGCCCCCAGGGGCCCCCAGGGGCCCCCAGGGGCCTCTAAAGGCCCCCAGGGGCCTCCGGGGGCCCTCTGGGGCCCCTTGGGGCTCCTGGGGGCCCATGCGGGCGCTGGGGGGCTTTAGGGGTACGGGGGCCCCCGGAGGCACTGGGGGTTCTGGGGGCGCGTACTGTGGGACCCGCAAACCCTAAACCCTAAACCCTAAACCCTAAACCCTAGCGAGCCCTAGCCGCCCTAACCCCAGACCCTCTAAACCCTCACTTCAGGGGGCCCCTGGTCCTCGCGCTCTTGGAGGCCCCAGCAATCCAGGGAATCCCGGAGGCCCCCTTATGAGGGGCCCCCAAGGGGCCCCCCAAGGGGGCCCCCAAGAGGTACCCCAAGGGGGGCCCCCAAAGGGGTCCCAAGGGGGCCCCCAGGGGGGCTCCCAGGGGGGCCCCACAGCGCGCAAGGCCGTAGGGGTTTATTTGGGTCTGTAGGCCAGCAGCAGAGCCTCCGTAGTTATGGGGGAGGCTGGGTTTGTGAGGGGAGGGTTTAGGGTTTAGGGTTTAGGGTTTGGGGTTTAGGGTTTAGGGTTTAGGCTTTAGGGTTTGCTGGGCGTGTAGAACAGCGCGGCTTCGCGTATTCTTCAACTTTGGGGCCGCGGCGCAAAGGGGGCTGCTGCAACTCTTCTTGCCTGCTGCTGCTGCTGCTACTGCTGCTGCTGCTGCTGCTGCTGCGTGTCTCTTTGCACTGGTTTGGCTTAACTGGCGGTGCCTGCAGGGGCCCTTGGAGGTGGTGGGTTTGCATGCAACAGAAACCTCCCTGTTCGTCAGCCTGCTGGTCAGCTAAACCCTAAACCCTAAACCCTAAACCCTAAACCCTAAACCCTCATTCTTTCTTGAGTCTCTCTGTTTCTTTTATTTAATTTTTAATTTTAATTTTTTTATTTTTTCTTTTGCTGCTGCAGGGGGGGCCGTCGCTGGAAGCTGAGGTGTACAGACACCTCAGCGCAACGCAAGCAGCTTTTGCTGCTGCTCAGCCAGACATTGATTTGCTGCTGCCTCCCACTTCCTTCTTTTCTTGTTTGCTGCCCAACGAACTCCACGTCCTCCCAGGCTGTAACCATGCTGCTGCTGCTGCTGCTGCTGCTCTTGCTGCTGTTCTTGTTCCTGCTGGTGCTGCTGCTGCGGCTGCGGCTGTTTTTGTTCCTGCTGCTGCTGTTGCTACTGCTGTTGCTGCTGCTGCTGCGGCTGTTCTGCTGCTGCTGCTGTTGCTGCTGCTGCTGTTGCTGCTGCGGCTGTCTTGTTCCTGTTCTTGCTGTTCTTGCTGCTGCTGCTGCAGCTGCAGCAGCTCTAACAGCTGCAACGGCTGCAGCAGCAGCTGCTGCTGCTGCAGTGCATCTGTGTCTTTAATGGAGAGCTAGTTAGAGCCTGTTGTGTTTTTGCTGCAGACGCAACAGCAGCAGATGAAAGTTTAGCAGAACCTGCCAGCCCCCAAGTCATTCACTTTCTCTTCAACAAGCAGCTGCTGCTCGACTCCTTCTCGCAGCAGCAGCAGCAGCAGCAGCAGCAGGTTGAATCCGACGACCGCCACGAAGCCCCCGACCCGCAGCAGCAGCAGCTGCAGCAGCAGCAGCAGCAGCAGCAGCAGCAGGAAGAAGACGAGGAGCTGGAGGAGGAGGAAGCAGCACTGGAGGAAGCAGCAGTTTTGCTGCTGGACTTTCTGTGGAAAGTCTGCGGGGGAAATTTGCTGCTGCAGCAAAGCGGCAGCAGAAACTCCAAAAGCCTCGCAGCCTTTTCCTTCCGCGTACGCACAAGTACTTTTTGTTTTTATTCTTTTATTCTTTTATTCTTTTATTCTTTTATTTCTTGTAGTCTTTTTTTTGTTTTGTTGTTTTATTTTTTGTATTCCTTTATGTGTTTTGTTGTTTTATTCTATTTTATTCTTTTTTATTTGCTTTGCTTTGTTTTATTCTTCTTGTTTTGTCTTAATTTGTTTTAATTTGCTGGTAATTTGTTTTATTCTTTTTAATTTGTTTTATCTTGCTTTATTTTGTTTTTAATTTAGTTTATTCTTTTCTAATTTGTTCTCGATTTGTTTCATTCTTCTTTAATTTGTTTTATTCTTTCTAATTTGTTTTATTTTGTTTGAAAGTGTTTTAATTTGTGTTGGATTTATTTTTAATTTCTTCGAAACTCGTTTTGCATTTTTGGCTTTTTCGATTTCACTTTTAACGTTTTAATTCTCCTTTGGCTTTCCTTTGAATTCATTTTAAATTCATTTTAAATTCATTTTAAATTCATTTTTAATACATGTTAAATTCCCTTTAAATTCATTTTAAATTCATTTGGAATTCGTTTTAAATTCATTTGGAATTCGTTTTAAACTTACTTTATTTTAAATTAATTTTGAATTTGAAGTTACTTTAAATTTACTTTGAACTTATTTTGAATTTATTTTGAATTTATTTTGGCATTATATTGTGTTTGCCTTCCTTCAATCTTCTTATAGTATTTTATTTCATTTTATTTTCTATTTCTTTTTTAATTCTTTTTCTATTTCTTTTAAATATCTTTTAATGGTCCTTTCAACAAATCGAATTTACTCCTTTTTGTTTCATTCAAATTCATTTAATCATTTTTAAAAAATTCCTCAAATCGCATTTTCTTTCTTTTTGAAATCTTTTCTTTTTTTTGCATTTCTATCGTCCCTTTCTTTTGCTTCTGACCTCTTTTGCTGCTGCTTTTGCTGTTGCTTCTGCTGTTGCTTTTGCTGCTGCTTTTGCTGCTGCTTCTGCTGCTTCTGCTGCTGCTTCTGCTGCTGCTCTTGCTGCTGCTTCTGCTGCTGCTTCTGCTGCTGCTTCCTGGCCTCTGCTGCAGGCCGAGCCGGCCGCTGGGACTTCAAAAGAAGAAATGGAAAAAATGAAAAAAAGAATTTTGCAGTTGGCGGTGTTGCCGGAGTCTGAGGTGTACAGACACCTGCCCTACGGCGCGCTCGTGGTGCGGATGCCCAAAGACGAGTGAACCAAAAGGTCCAGAAGTGCGCAAAAGGGGACCATTTAATGAACTTAAATTTAAATATATTTATATTTATTTAGATATATTTAAATTAAAACAAAAAAGAACAAAAAACGAGAAAAGACAAAAATTGCAACTCAAGACAAGTGCGCAGCAGCCCCGCACCTGCCACTCAATAAAATAAATTCGAAAACTTCAAGTTGCAAAAAACGGACTTGGGATTTTAATCTGCTGCTGCGGCTGGCGCTGCTGCTGCTGCTGCTGCTGTAGCAGCAAGTCACTGGAAGCAAGCAGCCGAAGCTGCCGCTTGCTGCTGCTGCTGTAGCAGCAAGTCACTGGAAGCAAGCAGCCGAAGCTGCCGCTTGCTGCTGCTGCTGCGGGGCGCTGCAGCGCTTCGCCTTCGCGAAGCAGCAGCAGCTAGCGGCGCGGCAGCAGCAGCAGCAGCAGCTAGCGGCGCAGCAGGAGCTTTTACAGCAACAGCTAGCAGCTGCGTAATTGACTCAACTTGAGACAAAAAAGACAACGGCGCAGCAGCAAAAGGAGCAGCAGCTGCAGTAGCAACAGCAGCAACAACTGCAGCAGCAGCAGCAAGAGCAAGTGCAGCAGCAGCAAGAGGAGTGCTGCTGCTGCTGCTGCTGCTGCTGCCGAGTTGGGGTTTGATTTGTTTAATTGTTCCTGTCCCCAGCTCTTTTATTTGTAGCCCGCGGCCCCGCGAGGTGTCTGTACACCCCAAGGGGCCCCACAAGGCCCTCAGCAGCAGCAGAAGCAAAGACAAGCAAACGGCCCTTCCAAGGGCCTCCTGCTGCAGCGCAGCAGCAGCAGCAGCAGCAGCGTGGGTCGCTGCTGCAGCAACGTTTGCCCAGAGGCAGGCTCTTTGCCTTTAAAAGTGCATTTATAGCAAACAAAAGCACTAAAGAATAGAAATTATATTTCATAAGTGCTGCTCCATTTAGAAGACTTTCTGCAGTTTGCAGTTCACGCCAGTGTCCATACACCGCGCAGCTGTACGTACACTCCACGGCGGAGTGCAGCAAATCTAGAAAGTGCTTTTAATCATTTATTCATTTTAAATAATTTGAAAATATTTCTTTCCATAAATGCCGCCAGAAAAAGGCTAAACGGAAGGCCACTGCCCTCCTGGGCTTTTCCTCAGAACTCAGCAAACCCAGCCTTTACTGCAGCGCCTGCTGCTGCTGCTGCTGCTGCTGCTGCTGCTGCTACTGCTTCTTGAGTCCCAGAAAAGTCTCACGAGGCCCCCAAGAGGGCGCCCGGGACCCCCAAACCTCTCTGGGGGCCCCCAGCCCCGAAGAGGCCGCACCCCCTCCCGCTGCTGCTGCTGCTGCTGCTGCTGCTGCTGCTGCTGCTGCTGGGGTTCAGGCCTTTTTCATGTAGCGGGCGTAGATGGTGGAGAAGACGAAGCAGCCGAGCAGCATGACGAGCAGCAGCAAAATGAGCTTGCAGCAGAAGTTGGAAGAGCTTTGGCTCTTCATGAAGGCCTTCAGCTTCGCGTCCAGCTGCTGCAGCTCAGCAGCAGCTTGCTGCGTCTGCTGCGCCAATTCCTCCGCCTTCTGGCTGTGCTGCTCCGCCTGCTGCCCTATCGTCACCGCCACCTCAGCTGCAGCAGCAGCAGCAGCAGCAGCAGCAGCAGCAGGGGTTCTTTTAGTGCTGCAGCAATTCCGCGAAGGCCCATTTGCTTTTACGCGAAGGCCCATTTGCTTTTTACTTTCCCTCAAGCAGCAGCACGGCAGCTGCGTGAGGTGTACGTACACTCCACGAGAAGTATAACCCCCTAAACCCTAAACCCTAAACCCTAAACCCTAAACCCTAAACCCTAAACCCTGGTCCAATTGGAGCAAACAACGTAACCCCGCCTCCCGCTCGCGCCGGTCCAAAAACCCCAAAAGCTAAGCCCTAGACCCGAGACACTAACCCCAAGCACTGAACTTTAACCCTAAACCCTAAACCCTAAACCCTAAACCCTAAACTTGTTTCAGGCGGGACGCACCGATGCGGTCTATGGCGTCTCCGATTTGCGCGACTTGGGCGTCGAATTGTTTATCTCTTTCTTTCCAGCGCTGCAGCACAGCCTCGTCTTCCTCCGTGAGCTCCTCAGGCTGCTGCTGCTGCGCAGCAGCAGCAGCGTTTGCTGCTGCTGCTGCGGGGCCCCACGCCTCGCCTCCCACGGGGTTCCCCGCGGCCAAGTCCGCAAGGGAAACAGCAGCGCGGCCCTCGTCTCCGAAGCCTCCGGGGGGCCCCCGGGCCCCCTTGCTCATCTTGTGCACTGCTTCGATTTCTCTGCAGCAAACACCAGCAGCAGCAGCAGCAGCAGCAGCAGCAGCAGCAGCAGCTGCAGGGCTGAGGCGCGCGCCGAGCGTCCGCAGGCTCTGCCGCCGCGCCCACGCAAAGCGGCGCTTCCCACCCCACCAACAGCGCCCCTCACCGCCGCCACCGCCACAGCAGCAGCAGCAGCAGCCACAGCAGCAGCAGCAGCAGCCACAGCAGCAGCAGCAGCAGCCACAGCAGCAGCAGCAGCAGCACCTGAGCAGCTGGTTGAGGAGCCTGTGGCGGCTGTCGAGCTCCTCGTCGGAAAG